TTTCAAAACAAATTTTTCCTTAAAAAAAAAAAAAAAGAGGGAGAGAGAGTAAAAACAAACAAACGAACGAAAAAAAAAAAGGGCAAAAAAGGAAAAATTGCAGCAAGAGTCTCCACCTTTTTAGAAAAGCACAAATAGATCCTTAAAAGAAAATAATTTTAAAAAACACACAATTAACAAAAAACATGTATATTGAAAAAAAAAAGGAAAAAAGAAATTGAGGAAGGAAATATTGCCTTCCCAAGCTACACCAACCTCCAAATTAAGCTCCTGTTTTAACCCCATTATTCAATAACTCATTTTTTGTACTCATTTTTAATCATAATTATACCAATAAAATAATTTGCATGAAAATTTAAAACTTTTTCTTATTTTTTAATTGCACATTCTTTAAAAAATTACTATTACAAAATTCATTTTAACATAATAAATGTAGCTCAAACAAGGGCTAAGCCACTCTTTGGGTCTATTGGAATAACATTTTTGGGAAAATGTGTTTTAGAATTTTAATTTTTTGAGGATTAGTGATTAAAAAATAATATTTTTTTTTTGTTTACATATAACATTATTTTATGAAAGAATGTGTGGTTAAATTTGAGTTTAAAAAAATGTATTTTTGAGCCGAAAGAGGACTAATACATGATGAATTCATGCCAATTCAACCCCCATTCCAACTTTAAGCTTAGGTATACAGTGAATTTTGATGTAAAAAAAGTAAAAATACCACATTTGCATCCTTTTTGGTTGGGATTAAATAAGTTTTTAGTAGATTTTGGTAAACTTCGATGAAATACATGATTGAAGTTGTGAATTCTTTAAAATATGTGATTAAAAATAATTACTAACTTTAATCTAAATTAAAATCTTGATTTTAATTCTCACAAAAGATGAGCTTGACGTTTTTCAGACGTTAACTCATAATTAGATATATTCAATTAGTTTTTGAACTTCTGCACGTGTTTTAGATCCATAGTTAAAATCAAAAAAAATTCCAAATTCAAGTTTAATATTGATTTCTAACAACGTCCTTTTGTCAACCTAATGAACAGATATTAAATTATGAGGATCGATTTGGAATATTTTCTTAGTTTAAAGATGTATGTAGAACACCTACAAAAGTTTAAGTAGTATTTAAGTTTTTAATCCTCAAACAATGACCCCTTACTTGCACCAACGAATCACAACGTGCACCATCTCCTTCCCCATTCCCATTTGTCCCCAAATCTGATCACAGCTTACAACCTCATTTTAGATTTTTTTTGAAAACACGTATTAGTTGATCATACATCCAGCGATGAACTAAAATCAACCGTTAGGAAAGGGGATTCGGTTGATTAGTTTCAGTATATCAATCATTAGGCATGGCTTCATCTTCATATCAATCTTCTCTGGGATTAGTAGTTATATTTCAGTTGGGATTATTACTTGTTCCCCATTCACCAATTGCCGCTGGGGATGACGTTTCACGCGCTGCTCCAAGTGGTTCTTCTAGCTACTGCAGCAACCCCTATCGATTGGTAATATTCTGCTTTTATGATTTATGATGATGCCAGTATGATGCTTGTTTTTGTCTGCATTTTTTAAGTATAGAAAAACCCATATGTGTTTGTAGTTAGAATAATTTGTTGTGGTTGAATTCGGAAAATATGATGATAATTTGTTGGAAATTGACATTGTAAGAGAAAGGTACGAGTTTTGAAATGCAGAGGTTCAATGTACCTATGTTATACCATGTAATTCAGTTCAAATCATTTCTCGATTTAAGATCTTTGAAATGGAGCAAGACTGATTAGAAAGTAACATTTCCAGTTATGTTGTTTGGGAAAGGAAATTAGACCTCAATAACATCCTATTCTTTCTTTAAGAGACTTATAAATCCCAAAAAAGATTTATTTTTTATTTTTTCATCCGAAACATGTTTAGCCTTTGTGAGATAATAACGAGCGATCTTATGTCTTTTATCCCAGGTCAAGGTCAAAAGCTGGGTGAATGGAGATGAAGGGAAATCAATAAGTGGGATGAGCGCAGCATTTGGTCAGATATTGCCCACAAACCCTAAAGAAGGCCACATATTACCAGCTACTTTTTCGAATCCTTTAAATGGCTGTTCAACTTCATCTTCAAAGGTATTTTCTACACGCAGCAAGTTTTCCTCACTTTACTTGCTGTAATTTTGGGAGTTTCTTTTGAGACTTAGTACATTTAAATACCGTGGTTCCGCTTGAGGAAATAGTTAAATTCTTGGTTGAAGTATTTTTCACTCCCATACTCACCTTGAATATTTTACTTGACTTTGGGCTCAGAAGAAATTTGATTTCAGCAGCTGAGCATGTGTAGATTTATACTGCCAATTCTGGTAGGACTGTTTTAGTTGTTTTCCAGAATACATAAAACATTAATCATTTCTTGCCTTTGTTTTGTATTCTTACTAATGGTGCCCAAGAACTTCTAGATATCGTGTCTGATCTGTACTTGACGGGCAAGAGACGAATTCTTGCTGCACGGAAAGAATGAGTGGATAAAGTGACAACTAGGGGATGATTTAAATTAGAATTGAGAAAGCCTCTGCAGATGATAGTGTACTAAATTTGATGGATAAAGCCTCAATACGCTGCAGGAGAAGTGATAACTATAAATTCCTAAGCCTAATATCTGGAAATCTTAGTCAAAATAGAACTCTAAATCTAAACCCTAGTGGAAGACATTTATAAATGAAATCTGAAAAAACAAATAACAATGCAAATGTATGTTAATAATTACGAAGTTAACCAGGAAAACATATTTAAAACACCGAGTAGTAAAAGCACTGGATTTTTGTCCTGTGAACATTATCTCCTTTTCCTTAAAAATTGTAAAATTTTCCTGCATCTGTTACTCCACTTCTACTATAGTTCCATAAAATAGAGGTTCAATACACTTGAGTTTGACATTCCTTGAACTCTCAGCTGATTGAATAATGAAGAAAACATACAGTTCTACCCATTTCCTCTCTTATGGCTCCTTGGCATATTGGATGGCATGATTTCAAAACTGTCCTGGTGAGCCTAAAATAAGTAGGAGCAATGAATCTCCTCTTTTAGCTTATGAGTACTTATGTTTTTCTTGGTATTGAGATTGCTTTAGGGACTTGGCAGATTTTCGTAATATGCCTTTCATTTAAGCCTTTTAACAGCAAAAATACTGAATGAATGTTAGAGCAAACACTTCCTTTGTTATTTGGAAGTCATTGAGGTTAATTCTTCCATTTTCATATTGAGATTTTCAAGTAACAATGCAAATGATGTCCTGTATTCTTCGGCAGTTATCCGGCTCTATTGCATTGGCAATGCGTGGTGAATGTGATTTTATAACCAAGGCTAAAGCTGCACAAGCTGGAGGAGCATCAGGATTGCTGGTGATAAATGATGACGAAGGTTGTTAGCTTTCACTCTTTTAGCATACTTACTGAAAATGTTTTTAAATGGTTTATCTGTTCATCTATAATTTCTGTCTCAGTACTTGCACTTAACTTTGATCTTTGCACCTGTGCCTTCTTCCCTGCGAACTTGTATAGATCTTGTGGAGATGGGTTGTCCTGAAAATGATACTGCTTTGAACATTACAATTCCTGTTGTGATGGTCTCCAAGTCAGGAGGAGAGGAAATAAACAAATCAATGGCTGGTGGAGAGAAAGGTAGGCCCTCTTATCTAATTTTGTATGTGGGCATTAAGGGGTTGATTGAGCAGCATGAGATGATCCATATTTAGTAGCCTTGTAGATTCAAGTTAATATTTAATTTTTTCATCTGTGAATGTATAATTGCATGAACTGCTCCGTCATTTATTCTGCTAGTATCGAGTAAAATATGATTGTAAACAACTATATTATGTTTGGCGGTACTTTGATGGATGGACGTATGTATGTATAGATATATATCTGTAAATTGGTAGAGTGGTCAACAGGTACCGTATTATTCTTTTGGTTTTTAAACACACATACACATACATTTAAAGATATGGTCATATAGGGAGAGACTGAAAATGCATCAGGACTCAAAGTGTTTCATTGAAGCGCTGAGACCTCGAGAGCTGTTTTCTTGTTTATTACCGGCAGAGAAATCTGTCAAATCAATGAAGGTGAAGTGAAAATGCCGGCATGAGTAACTTGGAATGGTATTTATGCAGACACACTTACACACATATACACAATCACAGTTGGAATATGTGTATATATATAAACTATGGTCTGAAATACGCTAAAAATTTTGGGTTGCCTTGCAATGTCATCAAGACAGCTCTGCTTCAGGTGTTACTGTATGCCCCATCTCCTCCCTTTGATTCATTCTGTGTATTATACTTTTTTTTTGTAGTATCCACTGTACTTCAGGCGTTTGCTCAACAATTTTTGATAGTTTTGTTTTCCTTATATGTCCAGTATCTCTTTCTTCGATCTTAGCCTTCTTTGGTACGGATTCTTTTAAAATCATTTTCAACCATGAATTTTATGGGACCCATGACTTTTTCCAACTTTTTAACCGTACGTTCTCTAAAAAATTCATTTTTCGGTTGGAAAAATCTGAGCCAAACAAGCTTTTCTTTATATCCTTTTTTGATAATAATTTGGAGAACGTTAAATTGTTCTTCAGCAAAGAAAATGTATTTGAACGACATTATGCCATTTATTTTATCTTATTATATTAGGATACTAATAATAATCTCCTCTATTGACAGCAACTATGTCACCATGCATTATTACATACGTATAGTGATATAGAATAAGGCGCATTATCACTGTAAGAATGTGTCTACAATCCCATTTAACGTCAATTGAAGAATATTAGCTCTCCAATATGGCACCTTCTTTATATTAACTGAAGTGACGTCTCTAAATTGTTTTAATGCCTATGTAGTGTTAATCATGGAACATCAGCGAGAGATTTGGCCATGAAGAGAACCTTGAACAAATTCTTTATTAAATAAAATAAGACATGTCATCACTTTGATCTGTGTTGCAAGATACTCCCTCCGTCCTATTTATATAGGCTTACTTTCTTTATTTTCTCGTCCCAATTATATATTCATGTTTCTTTATTGAGCTTGTTTTGTTTTGTTCGTTTACTAATATACCCTTATTTAATTTTGCCTAGTTATGACCACTTTTTTCACTTAATCTTGAAATTGTACAAATATAAATAAGGGTAATCATGGCAAGTTATTGGCAAAAATTGTTTTTTCAATAACATTAAATAAGAATTTTTAATTCGTGTGAAAAACAAAACAAGCATATATAAATGGGATGGAGGGAGTATTAAGTATAAACATTTGCTAACTATTTTTTTTTCTTTCACGTTCAGATTAGTGTATCAAAAAATTTTGTTGTGACTAACTTCAAGTTATTCTGTGTAGTTGAACTACTGTTATATTCTCCAAATCGTCCAGTTGTGGACTACTCAGTGATATTCTTGTGGTTGATGGCGGTTGGGACAATAGTGTGTGCAACACTTTGGTCAGAATTTACTGGATCGGGTCAAAGTGATGAGCGTTATGATGAATTGTCACCAAAGGTTCGACAAACTAAACCATTTGGTCCATTTGTTTAGTTTCATACATCATACAGTTCAACTCTCTAAATGTCACCTGCTTTACATGTATTAACTTCATAGTGCACTCTTTACCATGGCGTTACTCCTACAAAATCAGCTCGTTGAACAGCATAAGAAATTAAGCCCCTGTTTGACAACCTTTTAAAATTTAAATTGTTTGTTATAATATCGTTCTCCACCACACATTCACACAATAAAATATTTTACACTCAAACCAATAAAGTTTCCTTACTTTTTAACCACACATTTTTCAAAAATACTATTCAAAACTCTTTAATTTTTCAAATAATGGGTGTCAAACGGGGCCTAATATTCCCAGCCTATTACTAGTCAAAGTCATCTTCATTGAACTTTTAACCTTTGCATTGTGTTGCTTTATATGATTAAATAGTTATTTATCTAAAAACCTCTGATTGCATATATACCACTCTCGATCTTTTGCAAAACTTTCAATTATCAGCTGTTGTTATAACCGCCCATGTTTTCATAACATGACTAAGTAGAAGAGGATCTGAATATGTCCTTTTATTGGAGCTTCATAAAGCCATCTCAAGATTTGACATACAACCTTTTGATTTGATTGCTTGGTTTCTGCACATACTTGACGAGACTTTAAGCACAAGCTGTAACTTAACAGTTATTAAATGAAAATATCCCATCAATATTTTCTTTTATAGGACAGAGGGCTGACTTCTATGTACTAATTTTCCTCGTAATTTATGAGAAATAACTGGTTATTGCAAATTTTTCTCTGACTTGTGTGGTTCCTTTCAATTTTAATGGTTAGCATCTTGTATGATAGATTCCAGATGCATTTTCCATGTTATTTGATGGACACAATAGATTATTAATTTTCTTTTTATCATTTTACCCAGGATGAGGA